CGGGTCTGCCTGCATTTCGCCTCGACGGTTTGTGTGGCAATGAAGCCAGCGGCGCTGGACATCAGTGTGAAGCACGATGCGGCGCTTTTGTAGTTTCAGCGGTCTAGGCAACCTTGACAAGGTTTCGAGGTGTCGAGTTTGCGGGTCGACAGTGATCTCGGAGCTCGAAGCCCTGAGGGCTTGCTCGAAGCTTGTGGAAGGAGTGCCTGGGTAAAGAATGCACGCTGAAGTCGTTAGGCCTCAACTTTCAGATCAAGCGTTTGTGGCCTCGAAGGCTCGGTTCTGGGTTATACCGGCAGAGGTTCTAAGTGGAACTGAGAGGTACAGGGTGCTTACACTTCTCTGGCTGCCTGTCTGACACGCTCAGAGATGCTCAGAGTATACCGAGTATGCTAAACCCTAAAACCCTAAACCCTATATATAGTATACTGTTGGACTGTTGGCTTGGTGAACTTCCAGCCTGTCTTCTCGACGCTGCCAAGAGGACTGGCAGACTCTGCACAACCCGATGTATGCTGACAGCGGCGCTGACTGAGCTACGGCCTTGAAGAATCACGGAATTTGGGGTGCAGTGTTTTGGCTTGGGGTCAAGTCGGTAGAGGCGACGGATCGGGTTCGGGGAGTATGGGCATACAGAAGGCAGAAGGCTTACGCAGAAAGGCTGATGCAATAAATTCAGGCTTTTGCAATCCCAGAATGGCAGCAACACGGGACCGATGGTTAGCCTGAAAGAATTCTAGAACTGAACAGCTCTCCATCTGTTCCTTGAAGGTAAATGTTATGGATTTGCACTGCTACACATGCAAACCTCTCAGTTTACATGCTATGCCGCGGACCGCTGGAAGCTAATTTGCGGGTCGTGCGAGAGAGTACCAAACATCTGAGCGAAGGCAGGATTAGTGCACGCAGAACGCATTTTGGGGCAGTTGTGCCAAGGCGCCGTTGCACCGTCGCGCGGCCCCTATAAGCCCCAGACATGATCCCTATATGAACCTGCGAGGTCTTGTAAGGGCCTTGTAAAGGGCTCTTCGACGGGGTTGTTTAAAGCCAAGCGTTCCTGGTTTTCAAAGAACCCTTCGCTGAGGATCGCTGAGGTGGTACACACGGCTTCTTTAGTCTGTTTAGCAGTTTAGCTGTCCGCTTCTTCAAAAAGAGTCACCGCAACACATGCTAGACAGCGGCGCGTCGTTAGGTTGGCGCTTCAATATTTTGATTTTGTCAGAAGGGAGTTCACTTCACCTTTACTTACCAGGATGTGCAATTATACCATATTATACCCTATAATCCCCTAAATGAACCCTATAAAGGGCCTTTTTAAAGGATTATAGGGTATAATAGCCCATCCTGGTAGTGTTATGCCCTGCACCTAAGGCTGCAAGCAACTGCTAGTAACCCACTTCTCCCCGAAGCCCTCAAACCTGAACTTGAAGATCAGACACAACCCTAAACCCTAAACCCTACACCCTAAACCCTAAACCCTAAACCACCAGGTCCTTTTATCATCAGCCAGCCGCGGCAATGCACGGCGACGGTGCGATAAAGACCGCCATCATGGATCATGGAGGGTCAGAACTCCACTTGCCAAACCCTGAACCCGCAATGGGGCGCTATGTAACGTTCTGGCCCAGACTGCCGGTCGGTCGTCTGAGGCACATCTCCTCATCCGGCCTCAACCCTGATGCCATTCATGCATATATATATATATATGTATATATATACATACATATATATATATATATATGCATGCTCGCCACCCCCCCCCCCCCCAAGATCTACGTTTACAGGTTTCCAGAACCCAAAAAAAGGTCAAAAACGCCAAAGAAACCAAAAAACAAAAAGAACATTATTCTGAGACTCTTGGACAGGTGAAACTAAACAACCCATGCAACCAAAAAAAAACACCAAAAACATTATTTTCGAACTCTTGACGTCACGGGGTTATGATCTTTTGTCCAAGAGTCTCGGAATAATGTTTTTTTGTTTCTTTTTGTTTTGTTCCCCACCCTCGGTGTGGGGTTGTTAGATTTAAACCCACTCTTCTCCTCGCCCGGAACTCTTCTCCTCGCCCGGTCTACTCCTCGCTCATCCCTGGAGTGCCCAACCGCAAAGTGTCCCCAGAGTGCCCAACTCTAGAGTGTCCCTGGAGTGCCCAACCCCCAGAGGCCCAATTTCAGAGTCTGTCTAGGGTGCCAAACCCCAGAGTGTCCCCGCAGTGCCCAGCCCCAGAGTCCCCCCCACCCCAGAGTCTCCCTGGAGTGCCCAGCCGCAGCCCCAGAGGCCCCTAGAGTGCCTGTCCAAGGAGTGCCCAGCCCCAGAGTTTTGTTGGAGTGCCCAACCCCAGTCTCCCTCGAGTGCCCAACCCCAGCTTATCCCCAGAGTGCCCAGCCGCTGGAGTGCCCCCAACCCCAGAGTATCTCTACCAAGAGAGGGTGGGGATGTCCGAAGTAAAAGTTTTTTTTTGGTGTTGGTTTGTTTTTTTTGGTTTGGGTGTTTTTGTTTTTTGGTTTTTGTGGTTTCATGTTTCCAAGAGTCTCAGAAAAATGGTTATTTTGATGTTTTGTTTTTTTTTTTGGTTTTGTCTTTTTTGGTTTGTGGGTTTTTGGTTTGTCTGATGGTGTTTCTCTTGTAGAGAAATAGTGCGTGCCCAAAACCTAGGGAAATACTGTGCTTTTTCAAATGCATAGTGCCTGCACTAGGCAAATATTGAACAAATAACTATACGAAAGAGGCGAGTGAATTATCCTAGTTCTTGTTCACCCATAGAATATCTATTGCAAAATGTAGCGATTGTGCTCGGCAATCTACACAAATACTGCAATTTTAGAGACAAGATGTTTTTTGAGAAGCAGTTCGTTCTGTTTCTAGAGAAGCAGTGCGTGTTCGAAGCCCAGGGAAATCCTCTTCTAAACACATAGTGCGGCAAAAATATTGAATTACTACCATATGAAAGAAGCTGGCTCGTGAAGTATCGAAGCCTTATGTCTAAAACACACAATTCGCATAGACAAGCTTACAAGTACACAGTTCTCCTAGAAAAGTAGAACTCCTAAACAGCATAGACAAGCTTAAAAATGCAGAATTCTCGTAGAGCTCTTAAAGAAACACGACTTTAGCACAGCGATTATGTGTACTAGATTTGACTGTAAAACAAGCAGTTTTCATCACATAATGAAGAAGCACTGCTCGCGCACTAACTAAATACCACTTGTACAGATTATATTCTGTCTCAAGCGCACAATTCGCATAGGCAAGCTCAAGAATACATAGGTTTTCTTAGAAACATATTTGCCTCGTGAAGATCATAGTACTCGGAAATTCCAAATCCTAAAGTCTTGGGAGAATCTTTGGCGAAGTTTGGACTTTTTGGTTTTCAGGTGTTTCGGTACAAATAATGCAATTTTCCTAAGCAACGCTTTTTTCCAAGCAAAATGTTGATTACATAGGCAAACTAAATACTATTGAATTGAAACACCTGGTACATTTTTAAAAGCACACCAATGCAGTATTCATTGCATAGAAATTCAATACTAAGTACATACTGGTTTTGTCGATTTCTTATGAATTCCTATTTTCAGCTTGCTTGGAGTGAGCAATGAAGGACAGCAATTGGGACACACGCCGCAAGCCGCCCGACAGGCAGGACTTGGAGTTTGTAGAACCCCCGAAACGCAGCGGACATATATTTTTTACTACGGAACCCATGATTACTATGAAAGTAGGCATGATAATATTGTTATGGTTAGTGGTAGGAATTATCCTATTATGAGCTGTTATTGTTGTATGAGAGAAAGAAACCCTTTCCTGGGAATCCTGAAAGAAGCCGCGTCAGACCCAGTGTTGACACGTGCAGCTCAGCACGTATTTGTTTACTAAGACAACAGTAATCAACACAAAAAAACATGAGTTTTCTTGGGTGTTAATAGCAAAACTGCTATACCTTCCAGGTTGTTTGGCTTTCGGAGTATAGAAGGTCACATAATTTTAAGACGAAATTCGGTTGCAGATTTATGGACATTTTGCATGCATGATGTGTTACGGAAAATCGTCCCGGAAATACTCGACAAGTACGATTTTATCGGTATTTACAGTGTTTTCGGCGTGCACTACTTGTACACAAGTGCATGGAAGCAAGCAGAAGAGTAGTGTAGACAAGGAGGGTGTAGATCTTGGGGCATATATATACCTATGCATCATGCTGCCGGGCAGCGTTGACACAAGTCCATGGCTATGTTAAGCAACATAGCACAACGCAGGAGCACAACATCAGGAATAATTTCACATCCTGTCAAGCTTCCCTTTTTTGCGAGGGCAGTGGTGCCACTACAGTGTGTTTGCTTTGTCCGTGCCTGCTTCTTCAGCCTCGGGTTTCCTCGGACGACAAGTTTGGAGCAACCTCTGAACACAAATGGCCCACTCGGGGAAATCAACTCCAAACCAAACGTAGCCTCCAAAACATCCGCAAGCCCAAAGCATGCGCGTCTTTGGCCTGACAGGCAGCCGACACTCCACCATCGACAAAGCCTGATTTTCTTGAGAAACCCTGAAAGCCTGTAATCAGGTTAGACGCCTTTAACGAGCACAAATTCGCGCGGGCACTTCAATCAGCAGGTGTGTGCTGCAGCATTTTGTCTGCCGGCTCGCAGCACATCACGCGCAAGGAGAAGGAAGAAGTAGCAGCTGGAGGCGGCATGGCAACGCCATTTACAGTGACTTGGCTTGGGAGTCGAGGGCTTGCTTTCGCGCGACGGCGTAATTTGCCACGTACGCTTGCCATAATGGAGGATAGATGAGTCAAAGCCTGCGCAGATCCTCGAGGGTGGAACCCTGGATAGCAAGTTCCCAGTCATCGCTACAGGTGAAAGTTAGGTGAGGGAGTCTCTTGTGGAGTGCCTCATTGTGTCTCATCAAGTATTCTGTCTGCCCTGGGCAGTGATCCCTCAGCCGTGCTCACAACTGCTACTGCTGCGACTGTGCCAAGGAGAAAACCAGGCCTTTTCCATATGTGGGCTGCCAAGCAGGGGGCTGTGGCAGCCCACAGGGAGGAGGGTGAAGGTGCTAAGGAGGTTCGAGGTGGTTGCGGATGGCTACGGGCTGCTAAGGGAGGGCTTTGGGCGGTGCAGGTGGGAAGGCCGCCTAATGGCGGTCGTTGCGGTTGCGGTTGCGGGAAGGCTACAGGTCCAGGTTCTCGATGCGGACCAGTAGTGTTCAGCGGATCACGTCCTACTACTCCTTCTGCTTTTCGCTGTCATCATATTTGCTCAGCCACAGTACTTGAGCAGCATGGGCTATTAGGCCTTAACATCCCCTAGCCAACCCCTTTAAGGGCCTGTTGAGGGGTTTTGGGGTACAATAGCCCATGTAGGGACTAAGAAGTAGCTCAGGTGAAGAACACGTTCGTTGAGATGGCTGAGGACTGTGGGGCGTTGCTGGGACAGACCTAAGGGCCTAAACCAGTAACCCCTCCACCAGTGTACAGCACAAGCCTCGAGTTCCTAGCGGAACCTTAGAGGAGCCCAAACCCTAAAACCCTAAACCCTAAACCCTAAACCCTAAACCCTAAACCCCAATTTGGTTTCGGCGCGAGCCCTGTGCAAGATTGCACAAAAGCCTGCAGGACGTCGACTCTGACTTGCCACTTCGGCGAGTGCAATCAGTTCCAGCACTTCCTTGGATGGGCAAGGTTGCTTGTGGGCTGTAGTAGGATATATGCATATACATATGTGTATATAATTATGTGTATATATATATATGTATATACATACATATATATATATCTGTATATATATATATATATATGTATATACATATACATATATGTATGTGTATATATATATATATATGTATATATATATATATATATATATATAGATATGTATGTATATCACATTGTATATGTATATACATATGTATAATGAGAGGAAGGCGGAAGGCGACGCCCCCCAGGCACTGAAAGACTCTGCTGCCTCGGAAGCGAGCTGAGCCCCTGAGTGCTTCAGAATCCCTCCAGCCCGAAGCTTCAAGTTTACCGTAGGACAGTAAGTAAGTTGCTGAACCATTGCATTCGCAGGAAGAGGAGAAGGGCAATGCCTTACCGCCTGAAGCCCAGCCGCCTGCAGAGGCAAGGCTTAGGATTTAGGGTTTAGGGTTTAGGGTTTAGGGTTTAGGGTTTGGGGTTTGGGGTTTGGGGTTTAGGGTTCAGGGTTCAAGGTTCAGGGTTAGGGTTGCAGCCGACCCAGCTTTCCCAGCCGCTTCCAAGGCCCCCCGCGCGCACAACGCTTTGCGTCTTCAGCTTCGGAAACTTCGCGAATGTGGATGAGGTGCTGGGCCTGTTGAAGGCCCGGTTTGCGGGGTAGGCAAGTGCATGGGGAATCGCATGGGGCGACATGGAAGGGACCTTTGGATTCCATGGGCCTTGCAGAAATCAGCAGGGAGCGTCTCCAATTTGGGGAGCTGTTGACATGCTGAGGTCAAGGGCCTCCTGTGCAAAATCGACTTTGCTTACATGCCGATGGATTTCAAGCACGGCGTCCCCTATGGCGAGGTGTTTTTAAATGCCGTCTCACCAGAGGCCGCTTTGGAGCTTTGGGACGTCCTTGATGGACCCCAGGGCGAGAACGGGTCCTTTGCCGTGTGCTGGAACACCAAAGTCCAAGGCCTGGATGCACTCATCAAGAAGTATCGCAACTACTCGGTGATGCATCCCGCCGTGCATGAAAAGGCAAAGCCCCGCCTTTTCAAGGACGGGGAAAGCATGGCTTTCCCTGCTCCCACACGGAAGGTGAAGTTTCCCAGAGCACGGGCATAGTTCCGGTGAGAGTCACGGACAGTCCGCCGCTCTCCTTCAATGATTCAAGATGCAGGCCGCTCCTGATGATCATAAAGTCATCTCAAAGCTCCAAGTTCGGACCTGTATCCATATTAGCCCGAAGCCCTGTAGTGTCCAGCAGCCTTGCAGCTTGCCACCGAGTGCGCCATATTGCGAGCCCAACCCACTTGGAGTCTTGCAGGTCAGGGCCAGGCGCAGACTTTCATAGAGTTGTCATCCAAGGCATCTCGCCCGTACGATGACAAAAACCCGGCAAGACTGGGCATGTTAATGCAGAAGTACTCCAAGCCGGCGACGTCTTGACGCACCGTAAGGTAGTTGACGAAAGGCCTGTTCTTCACCGTGCTGCTAACATGCATGCATGAATCTTCGATTTAGGCTTGCCATGTGATGGAGTTGCTTCTTTACTCCCGTGCACTCGTTTGTTTTGCCGACACAGATCAGCTGTTGCGAGCGCTACTGTATCACCCCTAAGAGCGCTTTGAGATGCCTCGAGCTCAGTCTAATACGAAGAAACATGTCGTTGTAGTAGCTGAGAAAATGCCACGAGTCGGACAGCCCAGACCCCTTAGACCTGTTCTACTGGTATGCCGTTGGTGGTTTCTTCGCTTGTTTTCGCGCGCTGTAGCTGCTACAAAGGCTGAACTTGGGTGCATTTTCGTGGTGGCAGAAGGTCTGGAGAAGTTCTCGCAAGTCCTTGAGTCGTTGTGGTCGCGTGGCTGTTCTGGGTCTGCCTTGTTCATGACCTCGTAGAACGGAATCCAGAGCGCAGCAGCAGCAGGATTCCACGGGACACAGGAGTTTTACTATAGAGGTTCCAGAGGACGCTCAGAGGTTCAAAGAGGGCTTCTCTGATACAGTCGTGTGGGATCGAGCCCTGCTGCAAGCCTCGGAATCTTACGTGGTGGCCTCCTTATGTGGTGGCCTCCTTGGCCCTGGCCGATCGGTTTGGATCGTTCCCCACGAACATTAGACCGTGCAAGCTTCCTTTGCAGCCTTCTACTCAAATCCGCGTTTCGTGTTCAATGTCGCAAGTTTGTGGGAGGTTGCACGGGTGTTCCAGTCATGTCAGCGGCTTCTTGCTCTTTGGAGATGCAAGAGGCCACGAACCCTATTGTGCTGCTCATGTTCCGGTGCTCCTTCCCACTTTTGAAAGGTGCAAATTCATGTCTGTGCCATCTGTGCACTCTGATTGACCCTCGTCAGCTGTTCTGAACGGTCGCGTGGCTGGTCTCTCTCTGCCTTGTTCATGACCTCGTAGAACGGAATCCAGAGCGCAGCAGCAGCAGGATTCCACGGGACACAGGAGTTTTACTATAGAGGTTCCAGAGGACGCTCAGAGGTTCAAAGAGGGCTTCTCTGATACAGTCGTGTGGGATCGAGCCCTGCTGCAAGCCTCGGAATCTTACGTGGTGGCCTCCTTATGTGGTGGCCTCCTTGGCCCTGGCCGATCGGTTTGGATCGTTCCCCACGAACATTAGACCGTGCAAGCTTCCTTTGCAGCCTTCTACTCAAATCCGCGTTTCGTGTTCAATGTCGCAAGTTTGTGGGAGGTTGCACGGGTGTTCCAGTCATGTCAGCGGCTTCTTGCTCTTTGGAGATGCAAGAGGCCACGAGCCCTTTTGTGCTGCTCATTTTCCGGTGCTCCTTCCCAGAAGGGAAAGGTGCAAATTCACTCCCTGACGAATACTGCAACAAAGGACGACCCAGAAGCTCTTCATTAGGAGTGGTTTTCCAAGACACGTCCTTCAAGCTCCTTGTCTGGCGAGGGCAGTGGCGCTATTGTTTGCCTTGTCCGTGTTCAGCCTGGGCTATCCTGGGACGACAAGTTTGGAGCACCCTCTGCCTCTGAACCCAAATGGCCCTCTCAGGGAAATCAACTCCAAACCGAACGTAGACTCCAACACAACTCCAAACCCTAAGCATACTGAGCCCTAAACCCGAAACCCTAAACCCTAAACCGCCCCTAAACCCGCAAAGCGGCCTCGGCCCTTCGACGATCCTGCTGTCAGAAGCCACAGCCTAGGTACAATCGATCGAACTTCACCCAAACTTGGAACCCCTCAAACTCAGTCATCAAATGGACCTCAGAAGCCCAAGCCATTTAGATCCTTGATTTTAGCTAAACCCTAAAGGGCTCGCTACCAACACTTGAGCCCGAAGCTGTCCGAGCTTCGCGAGCGACCTGAGAGCACTGAACGTGCAGCCCAGGTAAAGCTGGGGCTGCTGGACGCTCCAAGGCAAGGCAAGGCCCAGACTGGCCGTCAAGGCGGTCGAGCCTTTGAGTGTCAAAGGTAAAGGCCCGAAACCCAAGACAATTGCTCGTGCAACCTTGCCCCCCCCCCCCGCCCCCATGAGCTTTTTTGGGCTCCTCCCACCCAGACCGTTTCTGAGCCGTTTTGAACTTCAGACTATTCCTGAGCCTTTTTTTACGGCTCCCGCTAGACCATTCCTCAGCTTTTTTGGGCTTCACCCAGATAATTTCTGAGCCTTTTGGGGGTCCTCCCAGACCATTTCTGAGCTTTTTTGGGCTTCTCCCAGACCATTTCCGAGCTTTTTTGGGCCTGTCCCAGACCATTTCTGAGCTTTTTTCGGCTCGCTGCTCCCAGACCATTTCTGAACGTTTTGGGCTTGTCTCAGACCATTTCTGAGCCTTTTTTTTGGGCTTCTCCCAGACCATTTCTGAGCCTTTTTCGGCTCCCGCCAGACCATTCCTGAGCCTTTTTGGGCTTCTCCCAGGCTTTTCTGAGCTGTTTCTTGTGGGTTCACAAGAAAGCTTCTCAAAGCCCCAAATGGGGGGGGACCCCGGGATTGTCCTGGACACACAGTGAAAATGCTACTTTTTGTACTGAAATGGATGGTTTTGGGAGGCCTCTCGTTTCTGGTTTTTTTGGGTCGGAACCCCCAGCAGGGCTTCACAAAAGCTTCTTGTAGCCTCCAGAAGCCTTGAAACAGGAGCTTTGAATCCTCCAAAAGCTTCGAAAGCTTCGCTTCATCGAAAAGCTTCCAATACCCCTTCGGTAACCCAAATTGTTTTGGGATGCCAAACGTGCTCAAATAAGCACGTCGGGACGCTGGTCCGGTCGAGGGGCAGCGGTACCCCGGCGGTATCCCAAACCAATCTGTATGAGACACATGCGACGCCTTCCGTGATGGCAGATGCGGGATGCCAAACGCCTTCAAACAAGCCCGTCCCGATTTTGATGATGAAGGGCTACCCCCCAACCCTGCTAGAACTTCACCGCTTTGTAGCCCTGCCCCCGCGAGGCTTAGATCGGGACGGTGCCGAAACAGCGTGCGCAGGGGCACGCATGCCCCCGCTGGAAAAGGCAGACTTTAGGAACTAAACCCTAAAAATGAATATGCCGGGTGGCTTGGGGCGGGCTTACCGCCACGCGATGTTGCGAGCGACTCGGGCAGAGGGGCCGGTTAGAAAAAAATAAGGTGAGGCCCCGGAGCCCAACGAGCAACCCAGAACGTAGCACACCCTAAACCCTAAACCCTAAACCCTAAACCCTAAACCCTAAACCCTAAACCCTAAACCCTAAACCCTAAACCCTAAACCCTAAACCCTAAACCCTAAACCCTAAACCCCCTAAACCCTAAACCCTAAACCCTAAACCCTAAACCCTAAACCCTAAACCCTAAACCCTAAACCCTAAACCCTAAACCCTAAACCCTAAACCCTAAACCCTAAACCCTAAACCCTAACCCTAAACCCTAAACTACCCTAAACCCTAAACCTTAAAGGATGGTATGGAGTGTATTGCACGGTATAGGGTGACTGAGTTCATGTGCTGCCATGGCATGCCTCCATGGGCGGCGATGGCGCCCCGCGGCTCGCGGCGGCGGTGGCCGCCGAAGGTAGGGGCGCTTCGGTGCATGCTTTTAGGGTTCAGGGTTTAGGGTTCAGGGTTCAGGGTTCAGGGTTCAGGGTTTAGGGTTGTTCAGGTGACTCATATTCACACAATGAGTATTTGGACTACAGCGAGTCTTCTTTCTGCTCGCTGACTATTTCTTGTGGCCGTCGTAAACCTCAAACTCTACCAGAGCCCATATGCCTTTGACTCTTAGACTCCACCGCACCCTAGAGAGACGATGCCGCATCTGAGGGTTGGAAGGAACCCTACAACAGGCAATGGAAATTCACTATGTACGAGCTTTCTGATAGGCCCACATGCTTACATGAAAGCAACGCTTCGATACTGGACTACCAAGCCCCTGACGTAGGAGGCCCATCCGTGAGTGAGTGACCGTGGGGTCCGCGACCAGCGGTTTCGGTGTGGCCTGCCACCCACGCCCCCTCTCAAGACCTCCAGAGGCACAAGGTTCGCCTCAGTGTCCTCATGCCACACGCCTCCTACTGTGTCACTCGGTTTGTATCCCACCCAACATGAACAGCTGAAAGAGCACACACATTCCAGCCGAGGGAACGCACCTGAGCAACTATGCACGAAATATCTCAACGTCAGCAACCATCTGCGGCAAGCTTCTTGTACGTCACAGAGCACGCCAAAAGCAACATAGACACCTTTCCCCCCACAGTGATCATGACAGGCGGACACACCCCAAACTCCTGCATGAAGAAGCTCGAGGCCCTTCACCCTCGAGATGAAGCCATGTTTCCCCCAATCATGTGATCCCGGCTCTCCGAGTGCCCGGCAAGTTCGTGTATACTTCATGTCTCTTTCAGCTCATGGCCTGGCCCTGAAAATTTTAAAAGACATTTTACTTCACAAACATGTTGCTTCACAAGCCCAACTCCCCAAACCCCTGTTGAAACTGACAGGTGTTTTGGGGGCTGTAGAGTTCTTGTGTGGGATCCGTGAAGATGTGCGAAGCGCTTTGAAGTCATGAGCCTTCGGCTTCTTGTCTGGAGCCTGAACTCCGAATGTCTAGGCCATTCCCCAAACCCTAAACCCTGAACCCTGAACCCTAAACCCTAAACCCCCCTAAACCATAAGCCTTCAACAGGACGG